TGGGAAAAAAGGGGGTGTGGTAATCTATGTTAAGAAGAATTTATCTGCTATCCTGTTAGAATCAGATCCTCATGGAAGATATGTTATGCTTGAACTTGGTTTATATGGCAAGAAAATTCTTATCGTGGGGCTGTATGCACCAAACCAGCAACAGGAGCAATTCTACAGGTTGCTACATCAGAAAATAACCTTGTTGGACTATAGATCTGTGATTTTAATGGGAGACTGGAATGGTGTCTTAGATATACAAAAGGATAAAAAAGGCTTCTTCTACTTTTTTTAAACAGGCTAAGCTACCTAAAGCCTTCTTTGACATGAAAGAAGATTGGGAATTGAGAGACTATTGGCGTGAACGTAACCAGGAAGAAAGGGACTTTACCTTCTTCTCAGATAGACACCAATCTTTCTCAAGAATTGATTTTTTTTTTATTACAACAGATTTATACAACAGGGTGAAGAATGTAAAAATTTTTCCTAGGACATTGTCTGATCATAGTCCAGTTTGGATGGAACTGTTTGCTGAGAAAGAAGACAGGAGATCCTGGAGGGTGAATGAGAATTTATTTAAACAAGAAAAAAATGTCCATAAACTAAAGGAATGTTTAAAGGAATATTTTGCTTTAAATATGAATAAGGGAACATCAATGTCAATGGTGTGGGATGCAAGTAAAGCTTTTATGCGTGGTATTTTGATAAAAATGAATAACTTGCATAGACAGAAACAGATTCAGAAACGTAAAGATTTAGAAGAGGAGATTAAATTAAAAGAGAAACTCCTAATTTCAAATCCTTTAGATGAAAAGGTGAAAGGAGCTATAAAACTGTTAAAAACACAATTTAACATGTTGATGGCTGATCAAGCTGCAACCAATTTACTATTTATGAAACAAATACATTTTGTAATGCTAATAAACCAGGGAGATGGTTGGCTTATCAGTTAAGAAAGAAACAGAAACAGAGGAATATAGATAAAATAAATTATAATGGTAAATTGGTTTATCAGAAAGAATTGATTAAGAAATCTTTTTTAGAATACTACCAAAAATTATACAAGAGTACTAATATTCAAACTACAGATATAAACAATTATTTAGGTAAAGTTAATTTTCCTAAATTAACAGAAGATCAGGAAAAAGAGATTAATGGTTTAATTACTAAGGAAGAAATTGTTACAGCTATTAAACAATTGAAATTGGGCAAAGCGCCGGGTACGGATGGGTTGACATCTATTTATTATAAAACTCTAGTAGAAGAGATGACTCAACCGTTGTGTGAATTGTTTAATAACTTATTACAGGGGTTAGAGATCCCTCCATCTTGGCGTAATGCATTTATATCACTGATTCCAAAAGACAATCAAGATCTTACATTGCCTAAAAATTATAGGCCTATATCTCTTTTAAATGTGGATTATAAAATTTTTGCAAAAATTTTAGCTAATAGGTTTATGGGGATTTTGCAGCAGATTATACATAAGGATCAATCGGGTTTTATAACTGGAAGGTATATGAAAAATAATGTTAGACAAATTATTAACTTATTAGAGTATTTAGAAAAGAATAACCAAGTCTCTGCAGGCTTGATATTTTTGGATGCTGAAAAAGCCTTTGACCAAGTGAACTGGCAGTTTATGTTATGTTTAATTAAGGAGATGAATTTTGGACAAAATATATTACAAGTACTATCTAATATATATCAAAAACAGACTGCTCAACTTATTGTAAATGGGGGTTTGTCAGAGGCTTTTGTAATAGAAAAAGGTACAAGACAGGGATGCCCGTTATCCCCGTTATTGTTTGTTTTAACATTGGAAATATTGTTGATTAAAATTCGGGAGTCTCAAGAAATAAAAGGAATAGAAATTAATAAAAAAGAATATAAATTAAGAGCCTTTGCAGATGACTTGGTTGTTACTTTGTCTCAACCTATTTGTTCGGTGGTAAAATTATTACAATTGATCCAACAATATGGACGTGTTTCTGGTTTTAAAATTAATAATAATAAGACCAAAATATTAGCTAAAAATATGACTAATGGTGATAAACAGGTTTTAGTTAAGTTAACAGACTTTGAAATTGTTGATAAGGTAAAATATTTGGGGGTTACATTATCTGCTTCCAATGCAAAACTGTATAAAAATAATTATGAAAAGTTGTGGACGGAGATACAGAAGGATTTAAAAAATTGGAACAATTTACAGTTATCCCTTATGGGTAGAATTGCAGTTATTAAAATGAATGTCCTGCCAAAGTTTATTTTTCTGTTTCAAATGTTACCTATTTTAAAGAGTGATCGTAATTTAGATGAATGGCAAAAAGGTATTAATAAATTTGTTTGGGCAGGGAAAAAACCAAGGGTGAAACTTAAAATAATGCAAGATTTTCGTGAGAGAGGTGGACTCAAGGTACCAAATATGAAATTGTATTATGATGCTGTAGTACTAACATTGATCAGCGATTGGGTGAATTTAACAAATATAGAAATACTTCATTTGGAAGGTTGGGATTTACTTTTTGGATGGCATGCCTATTTAATATTTAATAAAAAAGTGGATTGGGTTTTTAAGTCTCATATTATAAGAATCTCTTTGCTTAGAGTGTGGAGGAAGTATTATAAATTTGATTTTAAAATACCATTATGGGCTATACCTCGGCATGCCATAGAAGGTATAAGGAAAGGGGTTAATATGGATATGGTTTCTTATGCACAGTTACTTAGATGGGATGGCCAAGACTGGCAGTTAAAATCTTTGGAAGAGCTAATACATGAAAATCTAACTTATTCATGGTTCCAATATAGACAAATAGTGGACAGATGGAAGATGGATCGTAAAATGGGCTGGCTTAGAGAAGATGAAACTTTCCTAAAACAAGTAAGAGATCAAAGGCCAACCCATATTAAGAGAGTTTATGGGGTTTTAGTGGAATTGGATTCAGAATCTGAATTAGTTAAAGATTGTATGATTAAATGGGCACAGAATATTGGTGAATCGATTTCAATGGATACTTGGGAACTTATTTGGACAAGAAATGTTAAATTCACACAAGCGCAAAATTTAAGAGAGAATTTTTATAAGATGTTTTATAGATGGCACCTTGATCCAAAGAAAATGTCCATTATGTACTCTAATTTACAGCCGAAATGCTGGAGATGTGGACACTTGGATGCTACTTATTATCATATCTGGTGGACGTGTAAGCATATAAAAGCTTTTTGGATTAAGATATGGTGGAATATTCAGAGAATTTTTAGAAGGAGGGTAAAATTTACTCCGCAATTATTTTTATTAGGTATTGTTACTGATTGTGATGCTAGGGAGGTTATATTGATGCTAAATTTGATTACAGCCGCTAGGCTGTTAATAGGACAATATTGGAAGAAGGAATCCTTGCCTATTTTACAAGAGTGGTTTTATAAAGTTTCGTATTTGGCAGAAATGGCAAAGATTTCGGCTTTTTTAAAGGAGCAATCTCAAGAGAAATTTTTTGCGGTATGGGAAAAATGGATAAATTTTATACAACATAATTTAGATATGGAAAAATATTATTTAGCCTTTTTATAACTTGTAATGATTGTTTTTTTTTCTTCCTTTCTTTTTTCTTCTGTATTATTAGTTATATACTTTTCTATATATGTTTTATTTTTCGCCTACCTCTTTCTTTTTTCTTTCTCTCTCTCTTTTCTTTTTCCCTTTTTTCTTTTTCCCTTTTTTTTACGTATATTATTATTATATATATTATTATTATGATTTTTATTATTATTATTAATTATCTTATAAATTGTATACGTTATTTTTTAAAATTTGTTAAATAATCCTATATTCAGTTCTGGGAAGTCGGGGGGGGAGGGTGGGGTGGTTTGGGAGGGGGGTGTGGATGTTTATTTGTAAAATTTTTGAAAAAAATTCAATAAAAAAAAAAAATTGCGTTGATCTGCTAGTCTCTGTTCTGTTATTTCTGATTCTGGATGTTGTTCTTTCCAGAACTGGTGCATCCGTTTTAGATATCCTATTCTTATTGGACTTGATCTGTAGTAACAGATCATTATTTCTTTGTTTTCCATCACTGTGTATCTGCAATGGGTAAACACCTTTTCTTCCAGTAGTTCTGCAGCTGCTGGCCCTGATTGCTCAGCCAACAGTCCTGAGTCCTGTAACCCATTTTTCACCAGATATCCAGAAACTCCAATATCTAGCATGGACCTTGTTAATCCAGGCAACATCCAAGCTGGTATGGCATTTTGTAATTTACGTCTCACCATATTTTTTATGGGAGAGACACTCTTTGTCTGACTCCTCTGATGAGACGTGTCCAGTACGGTTGAACCTCTGGCATAGCTCTCATCTTCCTCAGAGTACACAAGCCCCACAACCACGTCAAGGTAGTGCCTCACTGGGGGATTATTATTATTATTATTATTATTATTATTATTATTCAGGTCAGTCATAATTTTGAAGGGTTGCTAAGTTACGGACCCTAAGTCAAGGGCTATCTGTAATATTCTGTTCATTCTTTTACCTTGTGTTTTATGTCCATCCTTTTATTTCTAAGCAGTTTGTTTTTTTCTGTATAAGTCTTTGACTGTAATTAATTTAAAAAATAAAAAAAGCACTAGGCTGAGGGCATATAAATCTGTGATTTTGGAATTCTGGAATCTCCCAGGGGCCATCAACAGGGAAGATTCTCTGTGCTGCACTACTACTTTTCGTTAATTGGCCACAAAGTGAGTCCCTGCTGATCTGGGACCTTTTGTAAATGACAGATAGAAATGCGATGGGGTGGAGCTGAACAAATGAGCCAAATTATTTTCCAAAAATGTTTCTACAAACATGTAAATATCAGGTTAAAGTTTAACAACACATCTCTTCTCAGTCCCCACTTAAAATGATTATTTATGGCTAGGCTTTTCCATGGATCAGTTACACAATTCACAATATACCCCAGAACCAGGGGATCCAATATTTGCATTTGCCCATACTCAGAAAAAGTCATGAGACAAGGTTCACCAGAGGGGAAAAAAAACCCCAAACCCTTTTTTATTGAAAATGAAAAGTATGATAAGTAAAACTAAGAAATAATACATAATTCAGCAGTTAGCAAGCTTTGATACAACATTATCAGTTTCTAAATGCTAAGCCTTAGCTTTCAGTCTAATTCCATGTCAATATATGCAGTTTTATCTACTCTACAAGTACAGGCAGTAAGAAGCTGAGAAAGGTAAGAGAGATCTTCAGGAATGATGTTAGTGTAACCTTCTACCCAGTGGTGGGATTCAAATACGTGAACAACCTCTTCACTGTGTGGATGCCACTTCCGGAAGTCCATTCTTGGCCTGGGCAACAAACAATTAGCTACCTGTTCTGCTGAACTGGCTGAATCCCACCACTGCCTAAAGGCCATCAAAGCTTCTGTCTGAAGTACTATTTAAGCAAGAGTCTCTGCTCCACTTCTGCTTAAGTTAGAGCAGAGGTATCAAACTGCCAGCCCACGGGCCGGATGTGTCACATGGAAGCTGTGCCTACCCCAGCTCCGGCAAGGGGGAAAAAGTTGTTGCATGTCACGTGACGCGGCGAGTTTGACACCCCTGAGTGAGAGCTTTGTCCATTACCACTTTGTTATTAGAGAACTCCACACAGGTTGTAAGTAATATCCGAAAACAGACTCCTCTTGCTTTCCTTCCTGGGCAGCTGATATGGTGGACTGAGTGATGCCACAGCAATATGGTGTGGGCTTCCCCCCCCCAATAGTCTTTGGATTGATTTTTTCTTTTATATTAATTTTTATCTTTATTATTTGCCCTCCCTCCAAACCTGATCCAAGGTACCATTTAGGCTTAGTGCAGCCTGAACTTTTAGGAACCTTTCTCCATTCTGAATCATATAGAATAGAGGAAACCCTTTTCTTATAGCAGTATATGCATTGTGAGTGTTAATTCCTTAAACTCAGAAATCTGAAAGACGCTTTTCTCCAGATTGAACAATTACTTCACACCGTATCCATAAATATGGGGCCAAATCAAATGTATGAACATTGGGGCTATGATGTGTTGCAAGTTCAGTTTAGAAAATCCCGCGTTCTCCAAATCTTTCCAGGGCTCTCTTAACAAGGAGCACCCATCTCCCACATATTTCCAGGTAGAGTTACAGACTTGTTGCCAGAAGTAGGTCCAGGTTGATCTGTCAGCTGCTACATGTTCCATGAAACAGTATACACCACCCTGGAGAAAGTAAAATAATACAAAAAAGAAAGAATTTGAAGCAGAACACTTTGATATTACATAAAAAAAATCACACTGTAATCAAAATTGTTGTTATATAACTTCCTGGGGATCCGAAGCAGTAATTAAGTAAAGAGACAAAACAACCAGTTCAATATATTTCCGCATATCAAACTCAAAATTTTAATAATTTATTCTTTTATTTATATCCTTGCTTTATTATATTTACAAATAACTCAAGGTGGAGAGCACATCCAGCACACTTTCCTCCTATGTTCTCCACAACAACAATTGTGTGAGGTGAATTGGCCGAGGAGAATGACTGGCCCAAAGTCACCCAGGTGGCTTTCATGGCCAAGACGGGACTAGAACTCAATACATCAAGATACGATGAAGGAAGCTGATTTATCTATTGCTAAATGAATAAAGAGATACACCTGACCCGAAAGTCAAACAAGTCCTATTAAAGGACAAACAAGCTGTAATGTATGTACAGTAACAACTTATATTTGGATAACAGTCTCCTAACTCACTTGTTATCTCAACTCTTTCCACTATAAAAGGGCTACTTCATCACAAATATCCAGTGAGGCTGCATTCACTCTATATACCATTATTATGAGAAAAAATAAATCCCTTTCTAATAACTACTTATACAGATTCACAAGTTTAATTGCTGAACTGTTTTTCTTTTCTTCTATACTAAAAAGTATCAAATGTTGGAGCTTCTCTTTTTAAGGGAGTGATTCATTTTATTTGCCCTTCATTGCTTCTTCCTCATTTTATAATATCCTTTTAAGATGCAGTCACCAAAATTTCAAAGGAATGATGGGGAGAATAAAATAAGTCTCGTATCTTGACAAGCAGAAATGGTAGAAGGATAATTGTGAGGATCCAGGGCACAGCACAGAGGCAACATAGTCAGCTGACAGTTCCAACTGCCCCTTTATTGCTCCAATTGTTCCCCAAATGCTCTCACGTTTGTGGCAAGTCCCAGAGCAAGTGACAACACAGAGACAAACACCCCTTCAGCAGCCTCTGGCTGCAAGTAGTTTCAAAAGTTTTTCACTCTCTCAGGCAGGAACCGTTTGTATATGGAACAAGCAGTCCTCTTTCAGGTTTCAACTGTGTGTACAGTTGCTAGATTAGAACTGTAATTTACTCAAGGCCAAGTGGATAACAAAGAAAGGAAGATACATCAAAATCTAAATAGTCTGTGGAAGTACAAGCTTGTCTGAGTAGTTTCATAAGAGAAGCCAAATTCAATCTGAGGTTTGGAGCACCAAACCTTACTGATTAGATTTGTTGTTACAGAAATGGATAGTTTATACTATTATGAAAAAGTAAAAAAAATCGAGGTTTGATATTAATGCTTTATTCTACTGCAATAGAGGAAGTCGGAAGTCAATTACTTTTTCCTCCCTTCCCTTTCCCCTTTCTCTCCCCATTGTGTCCTACTATTTGCTTTATATTTTGTATTTATAATTCAATAAAATGTAAAAAACAAAAGCTAGATGAACATAGCTATAAACACAACTATAAAGTTTAATAAACACTATGTTTCTTTGGAGACAAACTAGCTAGTTGGACAAATGAAGAATAACATCTAAATTTTAGTCATGTTCCAGGGTGCTAGGAACAACCCTACATTTCCTATTTGGAAGATTACATTGGCTTTACTGGCGATTATTATTTGATTACAGAGGACAGCACAGAGTAACTATTCCACCCATGGAAATGGCTGCTAATTTTCTCTGTACAGCAAACACGTAGATCATTTCTCAAATTGCATACAATATCAATATATATATATACCGTATATAGTATCCAAAAGCCACTGGACTGCATGCTATTCCCAGACTCTCTTTGTGCTTCTTATCACTACACGAACATAGCTTTGAAATTCTGCAGGGAAATGGCTGATTTTGGGCAGCATTTTAAACTTTTATTTAAAGGTGAAGAGCAACCTTTAGTTTATTTACTTAAGATACAGAGGCTTCCGCAGAATGAAAGATTAGCCAAAAACCTCCCAACGTAGTGTTGTGCCCCAGCAGACATACCTATGCTGTAACAACATAATGCTCTTTTTCCTATGTTTTCCTCATGTAAGCCTCTTTGTCCTCCTGCTACAATGTTAGCTTGATCTATTTAGGTTCCTACTCAAGTTTCCTCCAAATCAAACTTGATCCCTGGTGATTTCATGCAGACTTCCCCATTGGGGGGGGGGTATTTTTGGAAACAATTCAAAAGTGGCTTGTCATTGCTCAAAGAAGTTGTTTTAACTTTCTAGTTTAGCTTCAACCTATTTTTTTCTGGAGATCTCTCACTGAAGTACCAAGCAGGCTCCTCTCTCAGGCAAGAGGCTTGCTGCCATTTACTAACATTAAAGTTGTGCATATATTCATTAAAGTTGAAAATGATCCAGAAACACAGGCAGGCGGGAAAGGTGCAGTTGCTTTAAGAAGGAATCCCATTTACGTTAAGCCAGGGTATCAGCGTAAAGCGTAGCAGAGAGGTGCTGTTTTGGGGGATCTAAATCTCCTACTCCCCATCATTTTCAAAGCATGCACAGCCTAGTGCTCATTATTCGATGGTCTGGAAAGACCAGACTGAATTTCCCTCCTTGCCCTTCGACTTACCGGTCTGAGCACTCGCAGAACCTCCTTCAGGACAGCCTGGGTGTTCTTGACAGAGCAAAGCACCAGCGTGCTAACCACCACGTCCACAGAGCCATCTGGTACCGAAGAGATGTTCTCGGTGGAGCCGACCACAAAATTTTTGAACTGCAGGTGCGTATTCTGAGCCATGCTCTTCAGGAGGAAGTTTCTAAAGTTGGGATTGTAGTCCATGCAGGTAATCTGTGAGTTGGGTGGATAAAACTGAAAATTGGTGCCGGAGCCCACACCGATCTCCAGCAGGTGGAGCTTTCCCGAGTCGTCAGCGAAGTCCCGCAGGTTTTTGAACAGCGTCTCCTTTTTCTTATGCATTCTTATATTGTAGATTTTGCTCGATGCCAGCATGAAAAATGGGAATATTTTTTTACAAATAGGGTCCCATAATCCAAAATAGGCAAGCACATGGATGGGCAGGGTGAGGAATTTTATGCATTGTTGGAAGATGAGAAGCAGCATCGTTGCCGGAGTAAGAAGAGAAGCCCTCCCTACAGCAAAGCAGCTTGACTCCCTCAATGTTTTGCTTTAAATATAGTTCTCCCAATTGGGATCTGTTCCAGTTCTTCCTTAAAGCGACAGTGACTCTTTCGGTCAGTTGTTGAAAAAAAATACCCATGGATATTGAAATTTACAACATTTGAATTTGATTTAAAATGCAGATTGTTTCTGTTGTGTCCTGGGTCTGATGAAGAAACTCAGCAGGCCCAGAAATGTTGCATCTAGTCCCGGGCATTCCAAAAGCTACCCAGGACCAGACAGAGCGGCGCCAGGCTAAATTTTTATTGGTTAATACTGTCTGGGTCTCTGGCCCTATGCCTTTTGTTCCTTTGCTTGGAGTTGGAGAAAGAGAATAAAATGTTTGTTACTTGTCACCATGTGTCTTCATCATTCGCACACAAACCAAGAACACAACACTGGTGATGAAGGTGGGATCTTCTGCAAACTTAAGAAAAAGATTTAAGGGCTCATCCAGGAAGCCTGACGAGGGGGAAGACTGCGTCTGCATCAGCATCTCAGCCTGCCAGTACAGCGTTGCTGGGGGTGAGCTCAGCTAAAGGACCCTTTCCCAAACATCAGCTTGCAGAAGAGGCAATTGGTGAAGGTCGTAAATGTTACGATGTCGAAGATTGGCCGCTTGACTTATTTTAATGTCTCCCACCCAGAGAGATGGAATTTCTACATAGCACGGGTGGAGAACTACTTTAGAGTAAATCAGATAAGAGAAGACGGCCTGAAGGCAGCAACTCTTTTGTATTCCTGTGGACAAGAAGCTTTTGACATAGCAGAAAATCTGGTGGCCACTGCACCTCTGGAGTTGGTAACATATGCTGACTTGAAAAAGATGTTGAAGGAACACTTCTAGCTGAAGTTATCCATCATTGCTTGGAGGCACGCGTTCGAGCAGAGAGACCAGAGACCAGGTGAATCTGTTGCGGACTTTACTGCTGCCTTAAGACAAGTGGCCAAACCTTGTGAATTCAAGGATCTGGAAGAGAGGCTGCGAGATCGCTTCGTATGTGGCTTAAGAAGCAGAGACTTACAACAGAAGATTTTTGCAAAAGATGTCTCCTTTCAAGATGCGTTACGAGAGGTGGCAGCTGAGGAAGCAGCAGGCGGGGCTGTGAAGGCTTTGCGGCTTGCCAGAAACCCTCCAGCCACAGCTACCATCCGTCAAGAGGACGCTCGAGAAGAATCAGAAGCGGATCCTTGAGAGGAGGTGGACAGACTTCACCAGCCAGCTGAGAGGAGGCCAAAGGTAACAGAACGTCCTAACCACGCTTCGCGAAAGCCAGGAAACAGGAACGTTGCAGTATTCAACAAGCTTTATTCACTATGTTGAAACTAAGTTAGCACTGGAACGAAGCTCCATTCATTGCCCTAAATACATTCCTCCACCACACCCAGAGTACACACCCCAATTGACGGTTAATTGGTCATCTGGAATCCACCTGTCCCCCTCCCCATACCTGCCTCGTGATAGTCCTCCACCCTACCTACGCCCCGATCCAGCTAGTACTTATGTTCAAACCTTGCATTGAGTCCATGCGTTCCGTTCACGCCATTCTCATCCCTAATGTCCCACTCAACCTCTTCCTATAATACCCCCTCCCGGTATCCAAGTGTTGTCAGACCCAGCGTCTCAGTTCCCATCATTCACAGAGTCACGGTTCCAGCAACATAAGCCATAACAGTTTTAACAGCAGTCGGCTTCTCCATATCCCATTTCTATGTAGCCTCCGTCCGGTTATGTGCTGGCAACATAGGATGTCCATGTGACCCGTTCAGCCGCCGCTGTTGGCGATGTAGCTCACGAAGCTACCGGACTCGGCTGGAACACAGGGTTAACTGGAACATTCTGGACTTTGAAAGGTAAGTATCACGCTGGGTCTGACATTCGGCCCCCCTCACCACAGGGTCCCCTGAAGGTGAGAAATGGGAAATTGATTAATCATGCCAATGTTCACATACAATAACCTTTCTAGTCACCCCCTGGTTTGTGTGGTAGTGCTCTGTGATACCGACGGATTAGATCAGGGGCGGATATATTGTGTTTTTCTACCCAAGAGGCTTCGGACAGAGGGTATCCCTTCCACAATATCAGATAATAGAGTCTACCCCCCCTACTCGCGAATCAATTATGTCCTGTATTTCATATCGTCCTGGCGTAACAGGTCCTGGGGGTGTCTCAAGGGACGGTCCTCCCATGGGTTTCAACAAACTTACATGAAAAACCGGGCATATCTTACCAAGTAGTTTCGGTAAGTGGAGCTTCACTGTCACAGGATTGAGGATCTGGAGTATATGAAATGGTCCGATGTATTTTGATGCTAATTTTCTGCATGGCACCTGCAACTTAATATACTTGGTTGACAAATATACCAAGTCGCCTACCCGTAATTGAAATGGCATTCTGCGACCTTTATCTGCCTGATACTTTGATGTCTGAGCTGCCCGCTGCAGAGCGTGTCGTACTATACTCCAAACCTTACCTGTCCCCCTCCCCATACCTGCCTCGTGATAGTCCTCCACCCTACCTACACCCGATCCAGCTAGTACTTATGTTCAAACCTTGCATTGAGTCCATGCGTTCCGTTCACGCCATTCTCATCCCTAATGTCCCACTCAACCTCTTCCTATAATACCCCCTCCCGGTATCCAAGTGTTGTCAGACCCAGCGTCTCAGTTCCCATCATTCACAGAGTCACGGTTCCAGCAACATAAGCCATAACAGTTTTAACAGCAGTCGGCTTCTCCATATTCCATTTCTATGTAGCCTCCGTCCGGTTATGTGCTGGCAACATAGGATGTCCATGTGACCCATTCGGCCGCCGTTGTTGGCGATGTAGCTCACGAAGCTACCGGACTCGGCTGGAACACAGGGTTAACTGGAACATTCTGGACTTTGGAAGGTAAGTATCACGCTGGGTCTGACAAAAGGGGCATCCAGACAAGGCCCCAGCATCTCTTCAGTCCTTTGGATGCAGAGGATGCCACAAGCGAGCTGACTGCAGGTTCCGCTCCCCCATTTTCAGGGCATGTGGCAGGCAAGGCCACATTGCCTCTGTCTGTTTGGGTTGCCAGAAGGTCCAACCTCGTGAAGAATTGCGTCTGAAAGATACCAGGGTCCCCAGCCAAAATAGGGTGGGCTTCTGCGCATCGTGCAGGAGTATTCTAAAGACAGGGACACACAAGCCCTTTAAAAAGAAACTTCACATTAACGTGAGGTTGCAAGGAGTTCCCTTATGGATGGAGTTGGACACAGGGTCTGCTCTTTCAATTATTTCAATTAACACCTTCAAAAGAATTTGCAGCAGTAGTGGCTTTCGAGTTAAACTCAGGCCATCAAACCTAACACTCACTGATTTTCAAAATTCTAAGGTTTGTGTGAAGGGGGAAGTCACACTCAAGGTACAACATAAGGATTTTGAAGGTTTCCTGGATGTGGTGGTCGTTGGGGGTGAACGTACGAGTCTTATTGGACTCGATTGGTTCAAGGCCCTGGGAATCCAAGTAACTGGGCTGCTCAACTTGCAAACGCTGGGACTTGCAGAGGTTTGCAAGGAGTTTGCAGATGTGTTTCGTTCAGAGCTAGGATCCTACAAGGGGCCTCCCATTGCGCTATGGTTAGACCCAACCATCACGCCCATTCGGGTCAAGCCTAGGAGGGTACCTTTTGCCCTCAAGGGTAAGATAGATGCTGAGCTGGACAAATTGCTCCAGCAGGGCATTTTAGAACCCGTGGATTCTAGTCCATGGGAAACCCCCATAGTAACGCCTCTAAAAGCTAATGGGGAAATCTGTATATGTGCATACTATAAGTGCACACTGAATAAAGCATTGCAACAGCACAGTTATCCAGTGCCTGTTGTAAGCCACATTCTGGCCTCCCTCAAGTTTTTGTGAAACTTGACCTGGCACAGGCCTATCAACAGTCTTTTGACCTTGGAGGCCCAGACTATTGTAACTCACACGGGGGCCTCCAAGGTCAAAAGACTGCAATTTGGGGTAAATGTAGCCCCTGGCATATTCCAAAGTGTCATGGAGAACACACTTTGAGGTATTCCTGAGGTCTGTCCCTACTTTGATGATGTCCTCATTGCTGGGGAGTCATCTCAAAATTTAGCAGAAAGACTAAGGGCTGTCTTGCTTCATTTTCGAAAAGCAGGCTTAAATTAAAGCAGGATAAATGCAAGATAGGAGTCACTTCCACTGACTTCTTAGGATTCAGGATAGATGCTCAAGGCATTCACCCTGCTGAATCTAAATTAGAAGCTATTCAGCAGGCCCCAAGCCTGGCCTGTCAGCTTACCTGCCCAGCTAGGCAGACCAGGACTTGTACTTAAGGGTGCCTGGCCTAGTGTGCACACTGAATAAAGCATTGCAACAGCACCTTATCCTTAACCTGGCATCACAGGTTAGCAGATTTTCTTCTTGCACACCACACCACACCTTGCATTGACACTGGGAAGAGCCCAGCAGAACTCCGCTGGGGCCTCCGCCTCATCACAAAGTTAGACAGACTGCACCCGACCGGGTGTCTTCTCAAGTGTCACAGCCACGGGCTCCTTGAAGACTTCAGGTGGGCGATCTGATCTGGGCTAGGAACTATGGTCCTGGACATCTCTGAGTTCCTGCTGTCATCTGTAAGATTTCTGGACCTCTATCATATGAAGTGACCTTGGAAGAGGGCCGTGTCCTGCGGCGCCACATCGATCAACTGCACTGACGGTGGTTCTCTGTAGATTCCGTCCCTGCCTCCGCTCTTGGGGGAAGGGGGCCTAGGAACTACATCACACTTCAGGTCAACATTTTGAGAGCCAGCCTCACTGTTTCTGGGAAGTACCGCAGGTCTCTAGGAATTTCCCAGGTGAGGTGCAAGGGCATCCTCACGGTTCAGCTATTGTGCCAAACAGGGAATCATGCATATCTGTAAGAGCTCCAGACAGGAATTCTCCTGAGGAGAGGTTTGCCATAGAGGCAGCTCCTGATTCTGGCACCTTGGCCACGGGGGACAATTGGGGCACTCCTGCAACGCAGGTCACATCCGAGACTGGTCGCGGGCTTCAGGGACTAAGTTCCCTGGAGCCATCCAGGGTAGTTGGGGAATCCTCAGCCACTTCAGAGGGTTGAGGAATTTCAGCTGCTGTAACGGAGCCTGGGAAGAGCCCTGGCAACTTTGCCAGCAGGCCTCACCAGGGATCACCTGCAAAATCTGTGCATAAAAGTCCTGGTCTAGCGAGCCCACCAGACGGTCCGGTAGGCCAGGCACCCTTAAGTACAAGTCCTGGTCTGCCTAGCTGGGCAGGTGAGCTGACAGGCCAGGCACCCTCCCTGACCTTGTATAGGTCACAAAGGGCTAAGGCCCCTCCTAAGCACTTAGGTGAATATGTGAGGTTCCTGTCAGCACAAGGAAACCTTACCAGTCTAGGTTAGGAGTTGGACCTATGTGAGGTAGAAGATAGACACAGGAAGTCCACATTAAAGGGTGGGTTGTTTAGAGAACCTTATTATTTTATAAGAATGTTGCCTGTGTGTGATTAATATTATTATGTGATTAATAATAGTTTTATTATTATGATTGTAAAAAGAATTGGATGTGTGTGTGTTCTATCTAGGGGGGAGGGGTGTTGTGTCCTGGGCCTGATGAGGAAATTCAGCAGGCCCAGAAATGTTGCAATTGATCCCGGTCAT